GGGCGAACCGCGAAAGGGCCGCTGCCCCTTACGAAAACCCGACTTGTGCGCAGAGCAGACACCGCGCTGATCAGGCACAGGCGGGACCGCAGGTGGCACCGGCACTGAAATCGACACCTGTGGCCCACCCCGACGAACGGAACCGCGAGCCCTGGTACGATCCCGCCGGGAAGGAACACCCCCGAAAGAGCCAGAAGAGACTGGGTGTAGGCAGCTCGTGCATTGAAAGGTAGGTTTAGGTTGTTGCAACGTGCTCGGGTTGTCGTTTCCCCGGACGCCCCGCGGCTGCCCCGCTTTGTGTATAGGGACCCGGACTTGGGGGTGTTGGTCGCTTCGCCCTTGGTTCCGTTCGCGCCCCCTTGTTCTTCCCCCTTCAGTGGTTCATTCTGCTCCCCCCCTCCCCTGCTTCTGGCCCTTAAGCATCTGAGGGCTTTGGGGTCGGGGTGGGCTTTAGAGGTCTCTGAGACTCGGGCAGTTTCGGGGGTTGCCCCGTCCGGGGTGGCTACGGAGGCATTCGAGTCTGTTCCTCCGGCCGATGCTCCGGGGTCTGACCAGTGGGCCCCTTCTCTTCTGGCTCTTTCGGCTGCCCCGGCTTTTTCTTGTGAGGCCGGGACTTTGGAGGACAGCTCGACGCCGGGGTCTGGTGCAAAGGCTCCTGGGGTTGGGGAGTAGCTGACTTGGGGGCCTTGGGCTCCATTGGACCCGCCTGGATTTTCCGTCCTTCTGAGCGGGGCTTACTATTGCAAGGAGTGGGGTTTTCCTTTCACCCCGCTGCGTACGATTTGGATTTGGGTTCTGCTCCTCCTAGGGTTCGGTTCCAAGTCCCTGTGGATTCTTCGGTTCCATCTTACCGGAGGTTTTCGGCTACCCGCATCTCTCTGCCTGAGTTGTGGTCGGCATTTGCAGCTTACCTCCTGCGTGACCCGGAGTACGCCTCCATAATGTATCCTCCTTCATTCAGGTTTGGATCGTCACGTCCTTACTGGGTGCGTTATGAGGTTCTGGGGTCATCCTGGCTTGCAGACTGTCCCTTGTTTTCGCTGAATGCTTGGGACTCGTTCTGTCAGACCCGCACGTTTGAGTGGTGTGAGGCACTGACTGTAGTCCAGGTTTACCTGGGGGGCGATTTTGATTACCTTACTGAGTGTCTTTTCGCTCCTGCCCTTCTGCGGGATGTTGGTGCAGTGCAGCTCTATGTGCAGGTTCCCACCCTGTCGGCTGCTCTTGTGGCAGAGGATTTGCGCTCTCGTGGCTTTTTGGCTTCGGTCCTGGGTTTCTTTTCCCTTCTGGAGCTATCTTCGGATTGGCTTGCGGAGGATATTGAGGCGCTTGGGGCCGTTCCTGGGTCTGACGCCTTGGTCTCGGCTGCTCGGGTGTCATCTGCCATGTTGAAGCTCTTGGCACCGATCCTGTGGGAGGCGTTGCTGCGGTTTTTCGCTGCACGTTTCACGTGTCGTCAGGCGGTCCTTGCTTCCTCTTTGGAATCTGCTTGGGCCCTGGTTCTTAGGTTGCCTTCTTCCTTTTGTCCTCTGCTTTTTGAGGCTTCTGCGGTTGAGCGGTATATTCAGGCGGCTTCTTCCTCTTGCCGCCCTATGTCTGAGTTGTTGGTGCTCCGGGGGAATGGGGGTGTTCCTTCCCGGCGGGATCGTACCAGGGCTCGCGGTTCCGTTTGTCGGGGTGGGCCACAGGTGTCGGGTTCAGTGCCGGTGCCGCCTGCAGTCCCGCCTGTGCCTGATCGGAGCGGTGTCCGCTCTGCGTACAAGTCGGGTTTTCGTAAGGGGCAGCGGCCCTTTCGCGGTTCGCCCCATTGACGGGGCGATGGGGGGGGAGGCTGACTGTTCGCTCACGCCTGGTCTCACGATTTGTGGGCTTTTCGGGTTGTTTCTCGTGGCCTGCGGTGGCATTGGGTGCCTCCTCCTCCTACGGGGGGTTCGGGGCGGATGGGGCAGGCTTCCTCTCCTGCGCTCTGTCGGGTCATCTTGGAGTGGGTACGCTTGGGCGTGGTCGAAACGACACCGTTCCTCATGTGGGTTTCCTGACTGTATCCAGTTCCGAAACGGGACTGTGCGGACCTGTGGTTCATTCTGGACTTGTCCCGTTTGAAGCCCTTGGGTTTCTTGCCCCTCGTTTTGAATGACCACTCTGTCCCAGGTCCGGCTTCTGTTGGAGCTGGGCGCTTGGATGGTGTCCCTGGACCTCTAGGACATGTATTGGCACATCCCTATTCATGTGGGGTTCCGGGACTGGCTGAGTTTTGTTGTGTGGCATCAGTGCTACCGCCTTCGTTGTCTCCCTTTCGGGTTAAACATGCTTGTTTGCTTGTTTTTCTTTCGGGGAGTTCTGTCCACTCGTTTGTCAATTTTCATTAACCAGAATAGGGGGTTTGTTTTGTGGCGCTTATCTTTCTGGGTGCCTGTCCCGGACGATGGCAGATATAGAATGCTCCAAATCACATGTGCATTTCTATGGGCCATTGCTCCCCGTGCCTCTGTGAGGGGGGCCAGGTTCTGCCTCGTGGTCCCCGGTAGGCTAGAACTCCACCCATATCGACTGATGCAAAATAGTTAGGGTATCTATATCAGCCATGGAAAGCTCCCTGGAGCCGTAGGGGCTTTCCCCAGAAAAACACACACACACACACACGACATAAATGTCATGTTATGGAATGTGGAATAAGAGAACATAGACCCCACACAACCTATATATTATGTGAGAAATCTTTAAAGAATTCTGATAAAGAAAGAGATCTAGGGGTGGTTCTAGATAGAAAACTATCACCTGAGGACCACATAAAGAATATTGTGCAAGGAGCCTATGCTATGCTTTCTAACTTCAGAATTGCATTTAAATACATGGATGGCGATATACTAAAGAAATTGTTCATGACTTTTGTTAGGCCAAAGCTAGAATATGCAGCTGTTGTGTGGTGCCCATATCTTAAGAAGCACATCAACAAACTGGAAAAGGTGCAAAGACATGCTACTAAGTGGCTCCCAGAACTGAAGGGTAAGAGCTATGAGGAGAGGTTAGAAGCATTAAACATGCCAAAACTAGAAGACAGAAGAAAAAGAGGTGATATGATCACTACATACAAAATAGTAACAGGAATTGATAAAATCGACAGGGAAGATTTCCTGAGACCTGGCACTTCAAGAACAAGAGGTCATAGATTTAAACTAGCTAAACACAGATGCCGAAGAAATATAAGAAAATTCACCTTCGCAAATAGAGTGGTAGACGGTTGGAACAAGTTAAGTGAGAAGGTGGTGGAGGCCAAGACCGTCAGTAGTTTCAAAGCGTTATATGACAAGGAGTGCTGGGAAGACGGGACACCACGAGCGTAGCTCTCATCCTGTAACTACACTTAGGTAATTACACACACACACACACTGTGTGTGTGTGTGTGTTTACACTATTTTGCTTACACTACTATTTATTTTTACACTGTTGTGTGTTAACACTAACACAGTGTTAAAGTGCTGGGTAGACGGGACACCACAAGTGTAGCTCTCATCCTGTAACTACACTTAGGTAATTACACACATTTTCGTAGCAGAGTGCACCACTGTACTCTTGTACTCTTATGACTGAGTGGACGTGAGGTGCGATGGAGAAAAATGAGATTGTCTTTGCATAGGCTACATCTCCACCCAAAACTTGTGGCAGCAGCAGGAAGGACCTTGAGCTTGAAAGGTCAAGAGGACACTAGACAGTCTGAAAGGTTGCAAAATAAAAATCATAAAAAGAACCTATGGAACAGAGTCTGAATGGGCTTGGCACACAGCCATGAGGAATTACCCCAGATGCCCACAGCACTGGCCAGTCCCCACAGACCAGAAACCATGAGTGCAGAACTCAGAGGCCATGAGGCACAATGCATGAAAAATCACAATGGAAACAGCCTATGAGAGAAGGGTAGTAAACCCCTGGAAACTTGGGATACACACCCTAGTCTAAAAACCCAAGGAAAACAGTCAAGCAAGCAGTTCAGAGTGCAGGGACAGGGTACCCAGCCCAAGGCACACATCCCAGGAGCCACAATCCAGAAACTACAGCCCTAGTGAACAGAGCCTACTGGCCAGGGTAAAAGACAAAGTTCCATAGACCAGGGGCATGCAAATCAGAGGCCAAAGCAGAAAGCATAGTAACAGGGCAAACAACCATATGAAAAACCAAATGGTGGGCAGTTTGGTCTGCAGGAAAAGTACCCAGAAACACTAGAGCATATAACCAGGAGCCCCAGAGCAAACCAGCCAGGATACCAGAGTACCGTACCAGGGTATAACAACCGTGTGCACTGAGGCACATAACCAGGTGAGCAGTGAAGGGAAACTTCCAAACCATGTGATGCAAACATGTGCAACTCGAGCAATGAAAGAAGTGGACCCAACAGAATTTAACTATTAAAATCCCAAAGAAAAGTAGCAATACAAAATTCACCTCAGGCACAACGAGGCTTCAACCAGTGGAGGTGCACAAGGCCTTGAGCCAGACACGGTCTACAGGGTGGATCATGGAGGAAATGTTCAAACGTCCCAGCAGCCTCTTCAAGAAGAAAGCCAAAACCTGCCCAACACCAGCATCAGATAATCGCAAAGATATTGAAAGGTCAGCTGTAGGAGAGAGAGGAATGCCCTCCTGGTGTCCGATATCAACCTCAACCAAATCAAAGGCTGAGCAGGCACTGAGACTTCTGCCAGCTGTTATTCAGTGGTGGAGTGAATTACTCTTTCCACAGTCTTCCCTTCCAAACTACATGACACAACCATTTGTAGTTACTTCATCATGGAGAGACAAGTTGACTAGAGCCTATCAAGTGAATTGTATACTGGGTGCACCATCCAAGCTCTGGCTTGATGAGCAACTGAAGGGGCCTTGCTCAGAAATGAATTATAATTACAATAATTATAGCAGGAAAAAAAAGTGTCACTAACAGCTTATGACAAGAATTTCTACAGACATGCACTATACAACAACAAATTTTTACTCATTGTGTATACCTCTTCCTTTTCAAAGTTTCTGTGAGTATCCTTTGTTTCAATACTCAGTACAGACGAATTTTCCAGCAGGTTGTAATGAGCTTCTTTTGATTGTACTGATTGAACAACAGTCTGCTGCTTTCTCTCCCTCACAAGTGATAGGAAAAAACCACTTGCAATTCCAAGGCCACTATCAGATATTTTTGTGCCTGAAATATTTAAAACCAATGAAATGAGTGTGCTAATTGCTAATTCTACAGAACCCAAGCCTTAGTCAAATAACACAAGATGTCATGAGAGAAGAAAAGAGGGGATGAGTTGCTGTCCCAGGACCTAAAAGCGTGTGAACCATGTGAAAGAGTACAGCACAGCTGGTGACACTTGTTAAATTGCTTGTACAGTGTTGGTTAATACAGTTAACCAATACTGTGTAGAAATTAACAATGTGTAGAGAGAAATCTTTAATGAATGCTGCTAGTGAATATAATTAAAGAAAATACAAAGCATTACCAACAGGCAATCAGAGTAACTGTTGTTCTGGCACAGGGATGCTTACTCATCAGTAGGTACTGATAGGCAAGTTCAGTTGGGTCACAGCCCAATCCGTCCTCTTAAAAATAACGTCACTTTTTGCTCGTATGCGCGCTATGGCCAAATTTGGATGTAATTTGAAATGAAATCGACTCACAAAAGTGACATACTGTTCCATTTTCTGTTTGAGTCGTCCGGCCTACGCGGACAGGTTAGGAGAGGAAACTTTCAATCACAGTTTTTCATAACATTTTGAAACTTCATGAGAATTTTCTGCTCACCTAACCTACCAGAGGACCCTTAACTTACTGTTGTTGAAAAAAAATCCCAAATTTATTTTCATTTTTTTTTTCATTTTCAAATTACGTCCACTTTCGGCCATACGGGTAAACGGCCAAAAGCAACATTTTTAAGAGGACAGGTTACACAGCCAAATAAATGGTCAGAGGTTTGTGGCAGGACAACTGTTTGGGTAACATTTCCCTTGCCTGATTGATGCTTCTGTTCACCTCATTATGAACAGACCTCATGGATCTCACCTTATGGAACAGCCAAATTAGATAGAACAGAAAGAGAAGAGAAGCAAGACGAGATAAGAGAGAGAGAGAGAGATTGCGAGATGAGAGAAATTAAATTTTCAAAGCAATTTTAGTTTATCTGAATTTTCATATAGTGTATGGAAAAATCTTTCCTCCTCATGTGTCTCAACCTTACAGGATTTCCGAAGCAGAAGAAAATGCTTGCGAGTCAAGTAACCACGCACTACAGCTTGAATTCTTGTGGCTGCAAAATCCATAATTCTTGTGACTGACAAACCACCAGCTTCCATTAGAACTTGTGCCACCTCCAGTTGTTCAGCTACATAAGCACAGTCTAGGGGAGTGTATCTAAAACAACAATTTAAAACAGGGCATTAGGATACACTTATTATAATATAATGCATAAATCAACATGATATATAATAGTTATTGACCATTTTTTCAACAGGCACTTTCCAAAACTAAGTGATTTTTCAACAAGCAAATTTTAGAGAAAAGCTCCAGAGCTTAGCAAACAGAGGTTAGCTAGCAGAGCTATCCTGATAGAACTGCTTGTGAGTGAAAGCTGGTTTATGGTAACTTGTGCAATCAACAGATATATTTAGACATGGCCTGCCCTCCTGAGAAAACATCCAGTCTCAGTACTCTCTAACATTCATTACGGTCAACTGACATCTATTTAATATAAATAATAAAACCAAGTCACAAAAATATGCTAACACTCTAGGTTATCATGCAAATATGCAAGATTTTGGATGAACCAAGTGATGATAAATGGGCAATGCAGATGCAAAGTCAATACTGCAGTGTTGGACAGAGGCAGGAGTGAGAATGTAAGTAATATAAATGCTAAATTTTGTATCATTTGTGTCTTATTTTGATTGAAATAAAGTTAGTATGACAGCAATGCTCTTATTAAGATTAAGGATGGGTACCTTAACTTTAAGCTAACATTGAAACTGGCAAGTCTATTGACTTAAGGAAGGCAATCAGCAAGTCATATGTATTGATTGTGAATGCAATGTAGGAATTGGAAAAACCAGCATTGAATGTAATGAAACTGCCATTTTCTGGGTGAGCCCCGGAGGCTTTCTGGAGCTTATGGGCTAAAGACCGGGACATTAGCTATGGAGTTCAGAACTACCAGGGATCAGTGCCAGATCCTGGCCCCTTCAGAGAAGGTTTCAAGGAGCAATGGCCCCTGTAAAACCCCTTTGTGGATGGGAGTTTTCCCTTATCTGCCATCGACCGGGGATAGGCACCCAGAAAGGTAGGCATAACACAACAAACCCCCACATGGTAAGAAACTAAAACAAAAAATTGAACAGAGAGGTAGAAACTCCCTACAATCCCAAGGAAACAAGCAAACATCACACTTTACTACCGTCCCAATCGTCTGTGCAGCCCTCCCCGCCCCGAGAGGTGGGAGGGGGAAGGCCCGGACCTACCGCGCCGGCTGCCTAGCATCAGTTCAAGCTAAGCTTCAACCAATGCGAAAAAAATGCCTTCCGGTGGGAGGGAGGGCTGCCAGGGAGCCTCCGGGGCTCACCCAGAAAATGGCGTTTCATTACATTCAATGCTGGTTTTCTGTGGGGAGCCCCTACGGCTCCCTGGAGCTTCATACACAAAGAGAAGGAAAAGGACCCGGGAGGCGGCCGCCACAAACTCCGCAATGCAAAGCCGAGACAACAGGCTGCAACCTGCGACCCAAGGCAACAAGAACGCACAGGAGCAGACACATTAAGACGAGATCTTTCAAAAGAAGATAGAGAGAAGCTGAAACTGAACCTCGCCGAGGCAAAACATTTAAATGAGAGCAGGAATGAAGAAGAAATAAATTCTTTTTTCTACAAAGTGATAGGGGTAGGCAAACCAGTAAAGTGGTACATAAAGGCAAACCAACAAAATCAATAGAGAGAGGGGGAGTGAAGAATAAGGAGAGGGGGAACAAGTTCCTGAAGATTGCATACACCAACATAGATGGAGTGAGATCGAAGATACTGGAGTTAAGTGATGTAATACAGCTGCAGACACCAGACATTGTTGCACTCACGGAGACAAAACTTGAAGATGTAATTTTAAATGAGGTCATATTCCCAAGGGGCTACTCAATTTGGAGACGGGACAGAAAAATTAGGAAAGGCGGTGGCGTTGCTGTGCTGGTAAAAGAACACCTAAAGGTGAAGGAAATAATGACTGCCAATCCACAAGAAGTTGACATAATAGCACTAGAGATCTGCTATGAGGATGATAAACTAATGATGATAAATGCATATAGTCCACCGCCAAGCAGCACATGGTCAAAGGAGGAGCTAGATAGTAAACGTGAAGGTCTTATAACAATAATGAGAGAGATTATAGCGAGAGCGGATAACGATAGATCACGACTGTTGATAGTCGGTGACTTCAACTTGAAATCCATAGACTGGGAAGCATATGAAGCTAAAACAGAAGATTTTTGGACCTGTAAATTTGTAGACCTCATCCTGGAAACATTCTTGTATCAACATGTTAAACAAGCTACGAGGATGAGGGAAGGGGACGTTCCCTCCATGCTAGATTTGATATTTACCAGGAAGGAGGAAGAGATATTTGACATTCAGTACCTTCCTCCCTTGGGTAAAAGTGACCATGTCTTTTTGGGAATAAAGTATGCAATGCGTTATAAGCTGGAAGAAAATAAGGAGGTTGAAGCAGTTGAAAAACCAGACTTCAGGAGAGGACATTATGGTGACCTTAGAAATTTTTTAGTGAGTATAATTGGACAGACTTGATGCTAGGCAAGGAAGTGAATGAGATGTATGGCAAGTTTTGTGAAATATATGATAAAGGCACAAAAAAATTTATACCAAAACAGAGATGCAGAACTAGGAAACAGGATTGGTTCAATAGAAATTGCGAGAGGGCTAGAGACCGAAAGACACAAAAATGGAATCAATACAGGAAGAGGCCGAACCCCCAAACATACCAGCGATACAAAGATGCGAGAAACAACTACACGGCAGTGAGGAGAGAGGCAGAAAGAAATTTTGAAAAAGGGATTGCGGACAAATGTAAAACAGAACCAGGTCTATTCTATAAATTCATAAACAACAAATTGCAGGTAAAGGATAATATTCAGAGGTTGAAAATGGGAAATAGATTCACGGAAGATGAAAAGGAAATGTGTGAAACACTAAACGAAAAGTTCCAAAGTGTGTTTGTACAAAATTAAATCTTTAGGGAACCAGATACAATAAGAATTCCAGAGAACAACATAGAACACATAGAGGTGTCTAGAGACGAAGTGGAAAAAATGCTCAAGGAGCTCGGTAAGAACAAAGCAGCTGGCCCAGATGGCGTTTCACCATGGGTTCTGAGAGAATGTGCATCTGAGCTCAGCATTCCACTTCACCTGATCTTTCAGGCATCCCTGTGTACAGGAATCGTAGCAGACGGGTGGAAACAGGCTAACATAGTTCCAATCTACAAAAGTGGCAGCAGGGAAGACCCCTCAATTATAGACCTGTATCATTGACAAGTGTAATAGTGAAAGTATTGGAAAAACTAATCAAAACTAAATGGGTAGAACACCTAGAGAGAAATGATATAATATCAGACAGACAGTATGGTTTTCGATCTGGAAGATCCTGTGTATCGAATTTACTCAGTTTCTATGATCGAGCCACAGAGATATTACAGGAAAGAGATGGTTGGGTTGACTGCATCTATCTGGACCTAAAAAAGGCTTTCGACAGAGTTCCACATAAGAGGTTGTTCTGGAAACTGGAAAATATTGGAGGGGTGACAGGTAAGCTTCTATCATGGATGAAAAATTTTCTGACTGATAGAAAAATGAGGGCAGTAATCAGAGGCAATGTATCAGAATGGAGAAATGTCACAAGTGGAGTACCACAGGGTTCAGTTCTTGCACCAGTGATGTTTATTGTGTACATAAATGATCTACCAGTTGGTATACAGAATTATATGAACATGTTTGCTGATGATGCTAAGATAATAGGAAGGATAAGAAATTTAGATGACTGTCATGCTCTTCAAAAAGACCTGGACAAAATAAGTATATGGAGCACCACTTGGCAAATGGAATTTAATGTTAATAAATGTCATGTTATGGAATGTGGAATAGGAGAACATAGACCCCACACAACCTATATATTATGTGAGAAATCTTTAAAGAATTCTGATAAAGAAAGAGATCTAGGAGTGGTTCTAGATAGAAAACTATCACCTGAGGACCACATAAAGAATATTGTGCAAGGAGCCTATGCTATGCTTTCTAACTTCAGAATTGCATTTAAATACATGGATGGCGATATACTAAAGAAATTGTTCATGACTTTTGTTAGGCCAAAGCTAGAATATGCAGCTGTTGTGTGGTGCCCATATCTTAAGAAGCACATCAACAAACTGGAAAAGGGGCAAAGACATGCTACTAAGTGGCTCCCAGAACTGAAGGGCAAGAGCTACGAGGAGAGGTTAGAAGCATTAAATATGCCAAAACTAGAAGACAGAAGAAAAAGAGGTGATATGATCACTACATACAAAATAGTAACAGGAATTGACAAAATCGACAGGGAAGACTTCCTGAGACCTGGAACTTCAAGAACAAGAGGTCATAGATTTAAACTAGCTAAACACAGATGCCGAAGAAATATAAGAAAATTCACCTTCGCAAATAGAGTGGTAGACGGTTGGAACAAGTTAAGTGAGGTGGTGGTGGAGGCCAAGACCGTCAGTAGTTTCAAAGCGTTATATGACAAAGAGTGCTGGGAAGACGGGACACCACGAGCGTAGCTCTCATCCTGTAACTACACTTAGGTAATTACACTTAGGTAATTACGCATAAAGAATGGGCGGCCAAGAACCTGTGCGACCCTCAAATCCCCGCACCTGAAATGAGCCCTAGTCGTCACCAACACAGCAGCAAAAGCTGCAAACGTCTGAACAGCACGGGCGCAAGGACAGAAAGCAGGCTGGAAGACTTAAAAACTCTGTGGACGACCTGGGAGACCCGAGCCCTGAAGCAGGGAACGAGGGGAACCAGATCAACCCAAAGCGCATCCCTAGACATGGTACGCAGGTAATGGCAAAAAAGCCCAACCGGACAAGACAAGACGCGCCCCAGGCCGAACCAATCAAGGATCAATAACCCAAGAACCCCTCCAGAAAGCAGCTGTCTCGACCGTCGCCAGAAGGATGGAGAACGGCTGCAAACGTACAAACCTACTACCAGTAACAGAGAGCAGAAACCTGAACCGAAGGGGCTACCACAAACTGAGATGATAAGAAGGCACCTTGATCAAGGACCAGGACGGCTCAGGCAACGCATGAGCAGGCCGGAGGTGAAA